ATTTTAAAAAATATTACTATTATTGTAAATTTTAAAAAAATATAATATGATTAAAAAATAAAAATAATTTTTTAAAAATATGCTAGCTCGTAGGCCAGCCTGTTTAGCCTATGATTTAACCCATTTTTAACTCGTTAATTTTATGGGTGGGTTTAGTCAGCCTGCTTTTAAAAAATGATCAATTTTTTCAACTCAACTCATCAAATTTTGCAGGTTAAACAAGGAAACCTGATGATTCAACCCATTTTTTTGATTCTATCTTGAACTTTTTATTAAAGGCTGAACTATAAAAATAAAATATTAAAAAAAATTAAATTTAAAAACTCGAATCTTTAAAAATTGAACTCATATAAATTGAACCCGCCCGTTTTCAATTCTATTGCAGGTAGAGGGAAGTTGTTAATTTTGAAGAAATAAAGAACGGAGGGGTTAGCCAGAGTGGTAGGTGGACTTAGGCCGACATATCAGGGCCACGCATGCAGCAGCTCTCTCCTATCTGATGCCTTGCTAATTGCTCTGCCTGTGCTATTTATTACTCACGCAGTTAAAAAAATATTAAAAGAGTTTGATATTTAAAAATATAAAATATTTTTAATTTTTTAAAAATATAGTAATAATAATTATTTTTAAAAATACCCTATTAAATTAATTATTTTATAATTACTGTATGGTATTTAATATAAATAAATATAAAAAATTAAATTAATTTAAAAATAAATAATTATTTTATTGAGAATGAGATTTGATTAAAAATATTTTATATTTTTTAACGGAGAATTTTGCACGATTTGTTTATGTACACTTTTCCTTTTTAAACTACATATTTACTTGCTTATCAGCATTACTATGCAGTATTTTTTGCACGTAATTTACTTCACGCGATTTTTTTTCTTAATACACGACCGCGCGTCACCCTGTGCAAGGAAGCAATTAGTTCAACTCATACCAAAGTTTAAAAAGTCCCCATAACCTATAGGTCGGGCAATCAAAGATCGTGATATCAAGATTCTTGTGCGGAATCTGATGACTTAGTATGCATGTTTACTTCCTTTTTAAAAAGTGTGGTCGAAAGTTATAGTCTAATCTCACCTGAAAGACCTTAACCCTCTTGCTAATAATGTGGAGAGGATGAGTTTGGAAAAAATTAAATTAAAAACTCATTCTAGGTAAGGTTGAGAGTGCATTATGTACTATTTGCTGAGATCAAAGAGAGACTATCAACCCATTAATCCTGCCTTGTAAATGATTTTTCTCAAGTTCACTTCTATTTAAATTCATGTTTTATTGAAAAAATAGCCAAGTGAAAAATAAAGAAAAAATATATATTTTAGTTCCCAAACTTTGTCTCAATTATTAATCCCTGGGCTTTAACTCATGTTAACTCAATCTCTTTAGTGTTTTGATTCAAAATAATTCAGTTCTTATAATTTTTTGATTTAATACAATTAAGTATTATAGTTTTTTGATTCAATACAATTTAGTCCCTATAATTCTTCAATTCAATAATTTACAATGACTGAGTTTTATTGAGTATAAATTCAAGGATTAAATCAGAGAAATTAAAAGTTTAGAGACTGAAATTCTATTATTTCAAAAATAACATGTCAATAAATATTAACAAAATTAATTAATGCTTCTTGCCGCCTGGAGAAATACCGATTGCTGTACATCTCTCAGCTCACGTCGTCTGCACACAAAATCTCACCAAAATCCGAGAGAAATTCATTCAATTCCAAACCAAGATTTAGCAACTTCAACTTTTCCTATTACACTTTGGTTGATTAAAGTGAAAATATTTTAATATAATAAACCAAGTGTAAATTTGATAATATAGCAGTACATATATATTGCAATGAATTTATTGTGCTCCCTCTTATAAAAAATATAAAACATTTGAAATTGAATCTTACATTCTAATAAAGTAATTACTTATCTTTAAATTAATATCATCTTTTCATATTTAATAGAACATTTTACTTTAAAATAAATATAAAGTGATTTATTTATTAAGAATACTTTTAAAAAATACATAATGATTATATTTTAAAATACTAAAAATATTTTACATTTTTTAATATTCAACTCTTAAAAAAAAATACTTTACATTTTTTAATGAAAAAAATATCTTTTAATCTGCCGTGCGCCAATTTTTTTTTTTTTTTAACTTGCTTTTTGAAATGAAGGGGCTAACACGATCACGTGTGGGAAGGGAATGATCCTCCGACTTGGCTTAGTTTACTCACTGTTCTTAATTACAAGTCACAATGTGTTTCCCACTCGCATAATTAGACAATTAAGACATCTCTCTCACCCTCCCTCTACTCCGTTTCTTCCCACGCGCGCCGCTTCTGCACATCCAGACGGCCTTATTATCCAGAAAGAACTATTGTCGTTTCCCTCAAAATACACAAGTACATAAATTCAAACAATTTTTATACACTAAACAAACATGTTACAAATCGAACAACTTTTGTTTTCCCTTTCATGCGACTTTTCGCAAAATTGCAAGTGACTCTCGTTCTCTCTCCAAAAAAAAAAAAAAACAATCTTGATCGCCAGTCTACCGCTTCACTAGCTTCGATTTTGTGGCGTTAGATACATTTCAGGGTCAGAAGAGTTATGAGTAGGTGAAGAATATATATATATATATATATATATATATGAGCCGACAGAGACAATGGACATTTCTTTCATGCATTTTTTCCCAGTGTTTTTTATTGTAATTTTTCTTGAATGGATCATATCACAACCACAAATAACATAGCTTGTCGACAATATAAGTAGATGACCTCGTGTTGTCTGTTTTAATCTGTTGGCTTGTGCATCTTTGGCATCTGCGAGATAATTAAAATTATATTATATTCGACAGCAAATACAATATTTTTTTTTATTATTCCGGAATATAATCGTACCCAACCCATGATACTTGTCTGTTAGGAATGTTTTATTTTGTTCAAGCTATTTGGAATCAAATTAGTTCGATGCGCTGCATGAATTGTTGCTTTCGTTTATAGTAGTGCGTATACAAACACGATGTAACGGTTAAGAAAGGGGTGGAAATTGGAATCAAAGTCATGTTGAAATAAAATTTAATACCTGGGCTACTGCACATGTAAATGTAAAAATTATTGTATGTATGGTTAATATCTAATTAATCCTTAGTAAAGTAGTCTTTTTTGGAAGAAAAGTTTTATGTTTTGTTTGGATGGAGGAAAATATGAGATGAAAATAAGGAGAAAAAGTTTCTAAAAATAATAAAATTTTTAATATTTTTAGGAGTTTCTTCCCTGATTTCCTTTCCTCCATATTTTTCTCCCCAGATAAAAAATTAAAATTTTAAATATATATTATATTTGTCGTGAAATAAAAATCGAAGTAATGTTTTATGAGAAGTCGAATTGTAAATATAACAAGTTTAATTCTACAAATAAAAATCGTGGACTTGTGGTCCTTGAATTAGGGGTGACCAAAAAATCACTCTTTACGGATAATTGGGTGATGAAATACTCTCAAGACATTTGCAAATTTAAAAGATCTCAGTACCAGCCCATCGATATATAACTCAATAAATTTATCTTTAACAGTTTGCTGGATTATAAATTCAAGTATGCTTTCACATTCAACCTTACATACTTATTATTATTTTGAATTGATACGAGATTCCATTCAAATTTATGAATTTATGAATTTGATAATATCCATCCACTCCATAGCTGGAGGATGAATTTAATTGGGCAGGAACAAACCAGTTTCAACGTTCAATCAGTCATTGCTGCACACGTGATTGTAAGTATTATGATCTAGTATTAATTTCACGAAATATTCGATGCCACCACCTGGATAGTCTGCTTCCATGCTACGTCTTTTTAAAAATAACAATTATTATGCTATATGTTGATCACATTAACACTGTCGTTGTGATGATGAGGGTTATTAAATAATAGATATTTTTATTTAAATAACGGGCAGTTTGCTATAAAATAAGAAATAAATAGCTTCGTTTTCCCAAGAATGTTGCTTCACAAACCAAGACCTAACAAAAAATAAATACTCCATGGGATCACAATACATTATTAGCAATATATTAGTAACTACTAACTATTTTACTGTTCTAAAGGAATTAGAAAAGTCCTTAATCTCTTAAAAATTTATATATTTTTTCAATTTCTTAATAATAACAATTAAAATTCAATTGCATTATTTTTTTAAAAAAGATAATAAGTAAAGTAAGGGTATAGTTAAAAAAATAATTATAAAAATTATTTAATCTTTTATATTTTAAACCAAGTATGATTTTTAAAAGATATCATATATTGTAGTTTAGAAGAAGTATATGTAATATGTGAAAAGGCATTAAAAAAATTACACACAGCTTAGTTAAATGTGCAAACAAAATGGAAAAATAAAGAACTATAAAGAGTCTAAAAAAATACATTACAAATAATGTGATATCTTGTAATTTTTATATGTTGTATTAATTTCAATGAATCTCTCTACCTGAAAGAATGGCATTGTTGATATCACAATTTGTTTTTCTCAAGATAAAGTACTCTTATCCTCGAATTGTTATCTTTCACAGAAATTATTAAATAAAACAATAATATGTTTTTAGAAAATTAGATGTAGATCAGAGTCTAAAAAGTAAAAAGGTAATTGTATATTAAATATTTATTTCTCATAATTTTAATAAACTTCAATTTTTGTCTATAATATTCTCCCCATCATTTTGCAATGGAGTTGACTCATGGAGAAGGTGGCTGTTACGGGACAAAGTGGGTGGCTATGGCTAGCAGACGCCGCGGTGCAGCGCGTAGCAGAATCCAGCAGCTATTAAACAGTAAGGAAATTTAACCAAGTCCTAAAAAAAAAAAAAAAAAGCGGAAAATAACAATTTGTTTTTTTTGGCCTGAAGAAAGCAACATGTTGGTTTCCCGGTGAAGGACTGAAGGTGTGATGGTATTAGGCGGCGCACACAAAAATATATAGTATATATGCGCAAAGCATCGCTTATTCCAAAAAGCAGCAAAAGCCGGTCTCTGACCCTCCCAATCCAAGCGCTCGCTCCCTTGCATGCGCATAAATTCCACAAATAGAGATATCCCTCTCGGAGTTCGCTGTCTCCGTCGGCCCAAAAAAAAAAAAAAGTTGCAGTCTCCGGTCTTGGTTTCTTCGGGGAAACCAGAAGTTGCTTCTTTGACCCAGTCCCTCATGGAAGTTCAAACCCACACCGTGTCCGGTTTTGACCTTCAGTCTAAGTCGCCATTCTCGTACTCCCTCAACTCCATGGGCTTACCCACTCCCGACATTCATGCCGACGAACTCAAGCCCTCCGATATTCCCGATTCTTCATGTCCGATCCGTCCGCTAACTGATAACTCTGAGCTTAAAGCCTCCCCTGTGGTTTCTCCGGCGCTGGATGATCTTAAACCCGACCGCTCTGAAATGCCTTTCGCCCCCAATGGCGGGAAGGCTTCGCCGGTGCCTGACGGGAGAACAACGGCCCCTGACGGCGAAGATGGTGTGGGTTTGGGAACTGGACCCACTCAGCTGTCGGTGTCGCCAAATGCGCCGGCGGGCGCGTGTCCCCAGACTAGTGCTGTGGTGAAGTTGCAGAAGGTGTACAGGAGTTACCGCACCCGGCGAAGGCTGGCGGATTCTGCTGTTGTTGCTGAGGAATTATGGTGGGTGCCGGGAGATTATTTTCCTTGCGCTTTCTCTGTCTTCCTTATTTTATCATGTAGAAAGTTAAAACCGAGCTTATTATGATGAAGGTGGCAAGCGATAGACTTTGTTAGGCTCAATCGCAGCACGATTTCATTCTTCAGTTTACCTGAAACTGCTGCAGCACGGTGGAGTCGGGTTAGATTGAATGCTGCCAGGGTATCGTTGGAATCCTTCCTCTGCAACCTCTGGTTTTAGTCTGCTATTTGTGGTTGCTAGGGCCTGTAGGGTCGTTTTTGGTGATATGCTTGATTAGAATCAATAAAAAAACGACCTGAGTTTGAGTCGGTTCGATTTTGGACTGTTTGACCAGGTGGGCAAGGGTTTGTACAAAGACGCTAAAGCACAGAAGTTGGCCTTTCAGCATTGGATTGAAGCTGTAAGTACTGCTCCTTATCCCTTCAGTATTTTCTCCCAGTTAGTTCTTTCTTTTGGGATGCTTGAACCCCTGATTCTCATTTTTAGTGGTATTGTACTTTTTATTGTAGATTGATCCACGCCATCGGTATGGGCATAACTTACACAAGTATTATGACGAATGGTGTAAAACTGATGCTGGTCAGCCATTCTTTTATTGGTGAGACTAATTTGCTCTTCTTTTTCCCTGGAGGATGACTGAGGCTCGATGAGACAACATAATTAGTGCTGAATTTTTCTCTTAGACGTTCCAGTGGAAATAACAGAGGCTGTTGACTTGGCATCCTGTTACCTACTCATGGAAATATTTTTCTTTTTTCTTTCTAAAAAAAAAAAAAGGATTGTTGATTTACAAATTGATTTCGTCTGGGATTGGAAGGTGAAGATTGGGTTTATCCTTCCTGTATTACGCGGCTTGTTTTAAAGGAAGTTTTAGCTTGTTCTATTAGTTAGTGGGGGCAGAACTGATTCAAAAGTTCAAGTTTTGCCAACGTTCTGCAGGTTGGATGTTGGAGCAGGGAAGAATTTTGATCACCCGGAGTGTCCCCGATCAAAGCTTCGAAAGCAATGCATTAAGTACCTTGGACCTGTATGTGCTTCTCTGGACTGAGCTGGTTTTCCTTTTCTTGTAATTCTGACCGATTTAATTGCTTGTCTTGAGTGTCACTGCATTGCTCCGAAGGTTCTGGCCGTTCATGCTCTCTTGACATGACCCCTTTTTTTGGCTCTTTCACATTGTTTCTTCAGCGAGAAAGAAAACATTACGAATACACTGTGGAGGAGGGCAAGATCGTCCACAAGCAATCTGGAGATCTCCTTCATACAAAAAAAGATTCTGAAAGTGCCAAGTGGATATTCGTAATGAGCACCGCTAAGAAACTCTATGCAGGCGAGGTAACAGTTCAAGCTCAGCCATCTTTTCCAGTTTCCTATATTCTTCGGCAGACGTCTTTCCAGAACCACTAATACATTTTGATATCGTTCCAGAAAAAGAAAGGATTATTCCACCATTCTAGTTTCCTTGCTGGAGGAGCTACGTTAGCTGCTGGTAGGCTAGTTGCTGAGCATGGTATTCTCAAGGTAGAATAATAATAATAATAATAATATTCTTGTTCTATTAAACTGTTGTTCTAATGGAACCAGCCGTACGATGTCCTTGATTCCACTTTGTTGTGCCAAAACATGACATTTGATTCTCAACGGCTTTCCCTTTTGCAGTCCATCTCTCCTTATAGCGGACATTACCGGCCAACAGATGACACTCTTGACAGTTTCCAATCGTATCTCAAGGAAAAAGGCGTTAAGCTTGATGAAGTTGAGGTGAGTGATTAGGATAAGGATCGTTTACTTTATGTACTACTTAATCCTAGTTTCATATGTTAGTAAAATCTTGGTTGTAGGGCGCAATCCTCTGATTAGGATATGGACAGGGTTGGCCCCTGCAGTGAACTTCGTTATTCTGCATGCACATACATTTTATATTTGATTATTAATTGGCCTTGATCCATGGTTTCAGATACACAAGGCAAGTGAAGACTCTGATATGTACGAGGATGGGAAGCTTATTGAAGGAGTAACATCTGAAGCATCAAGCACTGCTGAAACACCGGAGACCGAAATTTCCGAGGAAGCCGAGCAAGGAAAGGAAGAGGCACGACCTCAATCTGGAGGTAGTTATCAAAGGACCCTGTCTGGTGGCCTTCAGAGCCCAAGAGCCGAAGTGCCCGAGATAGCTATATTGCAAAGAATCAATTCCAAGAAAGCTGCAAAGTCCTACCAGTTGGGGCACCAAGTTTCTCTCAAATGGTCAACGGGAGCTGGGCCCAGGATTGGTTGCGTGGCGGATTATCCTATGGAGCTCAGAGTTCAGGCCTTGGAGATGCTCAACCTTTCTCCCAAATGTCCACCCACCCCTTCGTCTTGCCGGCGTATTGGAGCGCTTCTATCACCGCCACCTTGTCCCACGCCTCGCAGCACTAGAGGCAGCGATGATGCGACTTGTGGCGTTGGAGCCACCACTAAAGAGTGAAAAGACCTCAGTCACGCTTCTTCTTAGCCTAATAACTAATAAGTGCTTTAGGTTCACTGCTGTGGGGCTGTGGTAGGCAGGTGCTTTATAAATGTAGCAGATATATATGTCCTTGAATGCCACCTCAACTTTTAATGACTTTGTAGCCTTGTTCAGTTGTTGTTATCTTCTCTGTCGACGCTTGCCTCCACTAAAGGCAATGCAAGAAGGTATTAAATGTGATCACCAACCAGCAAGGGAATGTGGATGGAGCGAGATTGTGTTGGTGCTCACTGAGTTACTGTACTCGAGCTATGACCGGGATGGTGTAAAATCCACTACTAGGTCTCGTACACATTGCCGGGTTGAGAATACTAATACGGAAAATTACAGTTGAGAATTGTGCACAAACAACCATGCTAGAACTTAAACTCAAGCGACAGGGAGCGCAAAAGGCCATGTGTACTGGTTTCTTATTTTTGTGATTCTCACAAAAAAAAAAAAAAATCTGTTTTACGTGATGTTTCCTTTTTGAGATTGGGGTTTGAAACACGGAAGACTGCCTCACAATTATTGGATATAGCCATATAGGGCAAATCGTTAAAAAATCAAACACACTCTCAAACTTCTTTTAAAGTCATTTTTAACTAATTCATTAAAATTAAAGCGAGTTAGCTCAAATAATAAAATTATCTTCAAAAAATATTTTTTAATTTTGCTATTAATTTTTTTTAAAAGAAGTTTTCAAGAAAAATTGAAATATTGCATTTTTATTAAGAATTTATCGGAGGATATTTGTAGAATTTTGTATTAAAGGTTAAAAAATAATAATAAGGGAAAGTGACTCAAATAAAAGATTAATAGAACTTTTTAAAATGTGACTAATGGAAAGGATGGGGGAATAAACAACATGGGTTACTTTCAATTTCTATTGAATACATAAAACATGTCTTTATTTTCGAAATAAAAAATCGTACAACTATTTACTGTTTTTAATTAAAATTAAATTATTTTTAGACTGATATGTACTGTTTAACAACAGAATAATTCACCCTAATTTTTTCCTTTATTCACTTTTAAATTCATAGGAAAATCTTTTAAAATAAAACAAAGTAATAAATAGCTTAACAGCAATTTTTCATTTTCTGCTCGGCATCCTCTTGTGCGAGATGATAATTGATAGCCGACCGCCGTTACCTTGAGTAGATCGGTGACATTTGCCCAGTCAAACCTCCCCAGACACAGGAACAAATAAAAAGTCTTGTGTGTTTGGATTAACTCTCTAAGATTAGGGTGACCCAAACCGCAGTTAGAGAGATTAAAAGTTTTTTACTTAAATTAAAATCTTGTTTGGATTAAAAAAAAAAAAATCAAACGTGCGTTAATGGCTAAATGAGCAAGTTCATGGAAGCTGGGGGAGTAGTTTTTTAACGCAACGTGGGGGTGGTGCGTTGGGATATTGCAGATTATTTTCTCTCCCCTTCTGCTCAGCATCCCCATCTACACAAGCTCTGTTTCACCTCCTCCTCGCTGCCGTCCCTTGCTGCCGTCACCGTCCGAGGAAAGTTGAGGGCGTCTTGACTGCTTGTGTAGGTTCTGTCAAGATTGCTTTGTCCTTTATTTTCTTTGACTGTTTTGCTTGCTGTCAGTCATCATGTTTGCTGTCTCTTTGTTGCTTTCCTTCCTTTGTTGGGGTAGAGAGGGAGACAACAGATATGCTGGTGGTGGGAGAGGGAGAAGAAGATGTAGGGCAGGAGCGTAGAAGGGAGATGATGTTAGTTTGTGAAGACTCCTCCTACAAGATAAAGAAGAAGCATAGGGCTTAGAGGAGAGGAGGAGGAGGAAGGTGCTTATTGTGCATGTTTTTAAACGTGTATGTGTGACGCTCTCACCTCTGAAGATGATTATGTTTCATTATTTTATATTTAATTATAATTTGTGAATTAAGACAAAGTAAAGGAAGAAAAAAAATTAAAATCTTATTTCATTATTTAATTAAAATACACTTCATTTAATATAACTTTATTTGTGAAATATTAAATAGAGAGAGAAAATATAATATAGTTAGAGTGAAATGAAGTTTACGAGACCAAACTGCAGATAATATGAATTAAATATTTTATAATTTATAAATTTATTTTAGTTTTTTTAAATATTTTAAATTTTATTATGTAATTCTACCATTTTAAAAATTATAATTTTAATCTTAATATTTTTTCTTTAAAATATTAAATTAATCACAATGACAAAACTTATATTTATTTTTATCATTATATATCTCAATTAATTTTTAAATCTAGTCATCTAAATAAATTTTAATTTATTCAACTGACTATTAAAAAAAATTTAAACAAAATCATGTTATAATTACAAACTTTTCTACCAACTTCAATTTCCTAACCTCAGTTACAAATTTTCTAATCCAAACACTCACTTATTCACAGCATTTCTTAGATAAATTGGATTTAATACTTGGTTCTTCAGTAATATTACAAAACAGGATTAATTCCAAGTCCATCATTCATAAGTAATTTCTAAATATTCAAATATTTGTATTTTTTTTTTAAATCCGAATATCACATGCGTTGGAAAGTGAAATGTTTTCTCAAATCCTGTACATGAAAATCCCTCCCAGTTTAGAGATGGAAACAACGGCAGTAACTATGAAAACGAAAAATCGGAGATGGACAACGCACAGCGGGCAACTGAGGAAATTACAGACTGTATCTCCGCATTTGTTGGCCCCCCCAAGAATGGACGTCTCTGAAAATCTTAATTTCTTGTACGGATGTAGGAAGCGGAAGGTTTGCCGTGGGCAAGAAAAGAACATCGAAGATGCAGAAGATGCCCACCTAACCAGCCTCGTAGACCTCCAAAGCAAGTATTAACCCACCACAGAATGTGCAGCTATACACAGATCATGAAGGATGTAATCACCTTAACTCCCCAATTATATAGGTTGATAACATTACTCATCTCTTGGTGGCATATTTCTTATCAATATCAGACAAAACAATTTCCTGGCATCGAACAACTCCGCCTGCTCCTCCATAGCACAACCACCTCTCACTACCCTTGTTCATGTTCCATCTCACCCTATGCAAAGCTACTATTTTGGGAGGAAAAGCTTCAGGCACACTCCCTCCGCTAATTTCATTATCACCTTCTAGATCACCTCCACTCTCACCATCTATACACACTAAAGCTTGTCTATCTAACGGTTTTTTCTTATTGCTACCACTTGATTTTGGTTTGTTGGGCCTTTGCGTAGCAGTCAGTGCTTCCTCAGGAGCCAATTCCAAACCCGAATTGTCACCATTATAGAGTACTGAAACAAATTGAAGATTCCGTAAATATTCAAGTGAAACTATACTAGCTAATCAATATTTGTATGGAACCAAAATTTGCCAGGGGCATACCTAAAGCTTGAGAATCAGGATTAGAATTACAATCTGTCATCATCTGAGTATTCACATTCCCATTTACATTTGACTCGTATAAAAATCCCCGGAAAGATGATGCAGCATGCCGACCCTTGTCAAAAGACTTCTTCACTGGGAAAGGGGCATTTGATACAGGAGTGATAACAGTGAGTGCCGATTCTTCCTCTGAGAGTGACCCGCAAAGAAAGTGGGGGACCCGATTGCGGGCATGATCTGTCTCCACTTCCTTAGCAGTAAGCTGAATACATGAAAGCAAAGCTCAGAAGAAAGAAATCGGGGAGAGGCAGGGAAACAGAATTTTAATTTCAGCTTCCCTTTTATTCCATGCCAACAAAACTGCTCTCATAATATTACTTCTAGCTAAAAATTTAGTTACAAACGATTTATTGAAAGCCGTGCAAAAGTTTTGGCAAAATAAAGAAGTATAAGTATAAGCCATCTAAAAATCTATAGCCCAAAAGATGGAGTAAGAATTAGGCTTATCCTGCACTAAAATCATGAGCCAAATTATCTCAACCTTTTTAAGAAAATGTTCAAGCCAAATACGAGACACAAGCAGCCCTGAACTTCAACAATTGCAATTTCAGTACTATCTATAGTTAAGATTGGCTGCTAGTTTCTTTATTTCCTTTTTCCCCCCAACCGGATATCCATTCATACAAAAATCAACAGTACAAAGGCACGAGGAGCCAGTCACAACAGGCCAACTAAGCCTATCCCAAATTTACAAATAGTTCCATCTTGAGATGGTACATAGAAGAGGGGGTGGGGGGACACCACAAACAAACAAGCACATCCCCTTATCAGATTGAGTAGCTAGATTAAACTAAATTTATATAAATTATACTCTAGTAGTTACAAGACCAAATCATATAAACATCATCATTTAAAGATCATGAAGAAATGATGGTGGTAATTACAGGTGGAATCTCCTGAAAAATGTTTGACTAACCTGAAAACGGACGGCAGAACCATCTGCACCACAATAAGCAACCATACCTGCAATAAAATAATGGCAATACAGCTGTAAGAACAGACTAATAATTACACAATTTAGCTGCACTCTTAGAAGTTGAGTTGAGTGATGATACAAGGCTTTACTTTGCAATACATGATACAAGGCTCATGAGATACAATAATGAAGAAGTCACAAAAACAGTGCGTGGTAAACATGGTACCTGTTATTCTTGATACATGAACACTCCAAATAGCAAAGGATGAACGAGAGGAACTATGCAATCCGGGCTGTTTTTTTCCACTTATTCTTTTACCACTCACAGGTAGGTCATTTGCAGCCTTCATCAGGCTAAGGGTTCTCATCGTTCCATCTTCAAAAGTCATAATAATGCAACTACAAGCATATATAAACAAAATTATCCTGAGATTACCATAATAGAAAGACTGGATAGCATTTGATGCAGTTAAAATGATAAGCTACCTTGGGTTTGACAGCCAATCTAGACTATATATGATCCTTGGAACAGGATGGAGCTTCCGCAACGGATAAAATGGATCACTGCAAACAGCATAATTTTGAGTACTACAGATATTACCGTGACAGACAAGTTGAACCAACCCTAAGGCTAAAAAAATTCATCTCTAGGAAATGATGAAGTATCAATGTTTGTCTTTTTATACCCGAGGAAACAGCAAAACTACTCATTACTTTGCATATGGACATAAAGACAATATAATGAAACACTACCTTTCCGGTTAAACTTGTGCAATTCCCACTTCATTGCCAGAGAAGATTTTCAGAAAATAATAGCTTTGGAAATTCTTGTTTATTTCAAAACAATAGTTGCTACAAATAAGAGGATGTAGGCCACAGGACAACCGACCAATTAACCTAAATAAAAAAGGAAACTACAGGAACGTGAATTCAAAATAGACTAACAATACTGGAAGCTAATAAAGAAATGAAACCACTTGACTTCAGCCCATTAACATGATATGGGCTCGCTGACCTGGCACAAGTGTTAATTCAGCCCATAGGACTTTGCTCCAAGCGAAGCCAGGGAAGAATAGAAGTCCAAAGGGACAAAGGGTAGGCCATGGGAGAGTAGTGGAGGAGAGATGTTGTGTGGCCAAATGGTTGTGAAGAACCAAAGCAATAATTGGAGGGCTAAAAATCCTTTTTGGAAGCATTTTCCCCGGGGAGAGATTCTAGTCTCTCAAAAGCTAGAGATTATCTGTCATTATTCTTGGTGAATTCTGTGTCTGTTTGATTTTGTTTAGAGACTGCAATATGGAAGGTTGATTACCCTGTAGCTCATTCCTTTACACATCATGCCTACAGTATATTTCTAGTGCGTTCATAAAAATATGAAGCAGGCCAGGGAAATTTCAGCTTTGTTTCCGGCCAGACGCCTTCTGCACCTGAAATTCTATTGGACGATCTCACCCACAATAAATGTAATCACAAGACTGTCAAAAAAGTTCATGGACTATAATTTCTACAAAGCAATTCAATTTTTTTTCTTCAACGGGATATTGTCACTATATTTTCCATTTTGATGCATATCATTTGATCTTTTTTAGTAGCATTCTTCAGTGCGAACGACATATAATGGGGAAATTTGACACATAACTCAGTTCAACAATATTAAAAAATTATTTATTTCAGTACACAAAGCATTCTAAGAGATAATGCAACAAAATTATTTCAAATCTCTTTTCGTAAAGTAAAAAGAAAATAAAGCAATAAAATCAAGAAATCATACTTACCGTAGATCCCAAAACTTCAGGCCTTCATGCCCAGCAGTTAATATAATATTTGAACTCTCTGGATCGCTGAAAGTTATGACAAAATTAAAAGGCAAAAAAAAAACCCTCCTCAACATTAGAAATGTAAGATATCAATGAACAAAAGATGTACAAAAAGATAATTTCTGATATCTAGCTATTTTGCCAGCGTAGTAAATCATTGGCTTATTTCTTTGAGAAATCTTCCTTTTACTTTTTGGGGGATAAAAAAGCATGCATTGGACCATCAGTTTGCCAAACAACATATTCTTACAAGTTTTAAATAAATGCAGAATAAGAAATTATACTATCTGAGCAAATATAAACCAAAATGAGCAAATGAAGCTCCCCATGGATTTCGGAGTACATATTTGAGCCAGTTCTTGGTGATTAGATTGTATGTGGATGGAGCACAACTTCAAGTCAATTCCATTAAGCAAAAAGAAAAGAGTTAGAGAAAGGAACCAAAAGTAAAAAAAAAAAAAAAACCATAATCTGTAAGAAGTTAAGATGATTTTAAAATATAAATATATTTTTTTCAATTAAATCCTCTAAAGCTAAGAGATAAAAACACTTAAATATACTGAATGCAATTAAGTAACAAGCCTTGAAGTTTCAATCATCACTGACCCTTCAAATGGAGCCCATGCAACTGCTCTAATAGGAACTGTATCACCAGCAAAACAAAGCAATGGCTTTGTATCTGCAGATGAACATGAAACAATCAGCAATAAAGCTTATCTAATATTTGGCCAAAAAGAAAAAAAAAATGAAGCTTATCTAACAAGCTTGCTTCTCAACCAGAACCCATCATAACAAACCAAATCAAGGGAAAGAATGTTACCATCACATTTCGGTGAGGTACTTCTTGAGAATTTCCATAAAGCGACCTGGATATAATCAAATTGCACTAGTTGTGACGTACTGTCAAATGCAACATTCCAATGAAGATTTACTTACATGCCTTTAACTGATTGATGTTGCTGAAAACAAATATAAATTATATTGATGAAAACAAGAATCAGAATAACTATTGAGAGGAAACATTCTAGATGTTTTCTTATTACTCCCCTCTGACATAAATCTTCAAAGACAAATTTTCCTAATAGCTAAGTAAGATGGTCATCTATCCAAGAAGACAAGGCACAAATAACTCAAGAGCAGGCAATTAATGCAATGTAGATATATAATACCGTTCCATCGTGGCACCCAGCAAGCAGATAATCATGTGGTGGTGAAACAGACCATTCCACAGTCAACGGGATGCTGTCAGACATAGCAAATGGAGCAAATTTAACCACATACATAAATAATTCAAAAATATTATTAAAAAAACTGATGGATTGACCATAAAAGTTCAATAACAAGTACTGCTTAAGCATCACATATCATAAAATTTGTTTTATTCATCAATCAGGTTTATAAATTATTCACCTTTAACTTGTTTTGTTGATTTGTAACAAACAAAAATAATTTTATGCTCAGCTAATTCATGAGTTGGCTACAAAAATTTTGGTTAACTGATAACCCTAATGAAAAGCAAGAAGCAGGTTTAGCAGCATACCTTTGTAAGCAACCACGCTTCAACATTGAACATTTAAATACAGGCTCCAATTTTATAAACCTTGGATCTGTGGACTCTTCATGCTTATAAATTGCTCTTAATGCGAGATGACTAGGTACCTCCCACCTGAAAATGATAAAAATGAGGGCACAATACTTACGTCCAACACTGACTATTCTAAATGCCAAACACTAATTCTCTCTTTTTACTAAGTATCCATTATGTTTCATTCAACTTTTCATCGAACCTTTTTTAAATTTTAACACAGTACAAATCTAACATTCAAATCTGCATTTCCTTTGGTAAAATCAAATTTTAAAAATTGCAAATCTAGCAACGATATTCAGTACAAAAATACCTAAATTACCATGGTTACATTGCAAATCTAGCAATGATATTCAGTACAAACAGACCTAAATTATCATGGTTTTTTGCGGTTTCTAACTGCACAGTGAACGTAAAACAAGGATGCCTTATTCAAGCAATAGGAAGATAAATTGCAAAGCACCACTATGAACATCAGAATGAGACCCAAACAAACAAAAAAAAGTGGTTGGCAATTCATTTCAAACATCTTACACTTCTAGAGATCCACTGCCCAACAAGACAGCAAGATATCCCATTCTGTGCTTGCAAATGGAATCAGAAGGATTAGAAGGTCGCCACTTCACATCCCATGCTACCTTCCCATTATGTGCTAGGCATAACACAATTCTAGGCAAAGCAACATATTCTGGAATAGAACCAGTAGCTCTGCCAAGATGCACTTCTGAGCTACAAGTTGGTTGATTTACATCATCCTCATGCTGTGCCAACAGCGGGGGACTTCTATCATGGCTAAACTTACCTTCCCTACAATTAGTTTCGAACCTACTACTTCTAATGGGCTTTTCCATCATAGTGGTGCATGCAGATACAGATTTGTCAGAGCACTTGCACATGGCATTAGAGCCTGGTTGCAAACTATATTCTTCACAATTGCTAGGCACTCCATCTGCAAAAAATTCAGCAGAATTTTCAGGAATTTGAACTGCTAGAGCCTCCACATGTTGATTCCCATGATTCAGATCTCTCACTCCTACTTCCTTTGAATTCTTTTTAGGTCTTCCTCTACGCTTCTTTATTTGAGTCAATTTGTCATTTGTGACTCCATTCTTCGTATGATCTTGTTGGCCCTTTTCTGCAGGAGGACATACCTCATTAACATTTTCTAAAACTCCTTCTGGCACAAGAGCTTGAGCACAATGAATCCCGGCATTCAAATCACCCACTGCTCCTCCATTTGAATTCTTTTTAGGTCTTCCTCTACGCTTCTTTACTTGAGTTAATTTTTCATGTGGGACTCCACTTTTGGCAGGATCTTGTATGCTCTTTTCTGCAGGAGGACATATCTCATTAACATTTTCTAAAACTCCATCTGGCACAAGAGCTTGAGCACAACCAACCGCAGAATTCAAATCACTCACTGCTGCTTCATTTGAATTCTTTTTAGGTCTTCCTCTACGCTTCTTTACTTGAGTTAATTTTTCATGTGGGGCTCCACTTTTGGCAGGATCTTGTATGCTCTTTTCTGCAGGAGGACATACCTCATTAACATTTTCTAAAACTCCATCTGGCACAAGAGCCTGAGCACAATGAATCTCAGAAATCATATCAGTCACTGCTACTTCAATTCGATTTTTTCGAGCTCTTCCTCTTGCCCTTTTTATTTGTGTTGAATTGTCATTTCCAGTTCCCTTGTTTTTATGTCCTCTTTTACTCTTCCCTGGAGGAGGCCATGCTTCTTCATTGATTTTGCTGCTATTTAAAAGGCACCATATTTGTACAAGACCCCTACCAGTGAGTGGGCTACCCATCTTGTGATAAGAAGCTCCAGGTGGGTGAGCAGAAATAGCAAGAAACTAAAACAAACATCAGTAAGAAATTCATCTCAGGTATTTCAAGTAATTCTTTCTCAATAATTTGTATCAGAAGACCAAAGCTTAGGGTATCTCTATACCACATGCTAATAAAAGGCAGACTAAAAAGATACTGTAAAGAAAGATAGAAAGCATGTACCTCACATTTAACCGAACTATCAGGCTTCAAATGAATCTGAGAACACCAATCCAATGCCCACACAGGACCCCCAACATACAATACAGAATCTCTGCAGCAACAAGACTAGAAGTGTTAAGCTAAATTAGATGATGACTTGTAACTGAATAATAACACAGTAACTCACTAGCAGGATGAAAGATCATATACTTTAAAATTAGTGAAAGTGTATGCTATAACAGAATAGCAATGTCATTGACCAAACGACATGGTCAAAATCTCATTTATACCTTGATTCATGAGATCTGACATCGCCAAGTAGCCCCTCCTGCATATCATGCAAAAACAGAAACACAGGATGGACATAAATATTTGCAACACTAAAACTACACATAAAGACAATGTGAGTTGAAATGTAATTGAAATCAGGAATCTTGTGTAGCTAAGATCATTCTTAGGAAACCAAAAGAAAAGAGAAGGACAATAAAGATTAGCTTGTACCTTAGGAATGGCAGCAGATGAAAATTGAGGTAAGTTTATACAGTTGATTACATCTTTTGCCTCAGGGTTTCCAAATCCACGAGCAAACTTAACACTTCTAGGTTCATACTGAAAATGCCTCCATTCTCTGTTCATATATGTTTCACATTCTTTATGCAATAACAAAATCAACATTTTAAGAAGCAAAAGAAATAAAGGATACTGCCTTTGCTTTCAAATATAAGAGAATTTCAACCAACTCACACAATTTAAGAAAGCTAGTTATTCCTAATAATTATACCTAAAATTGAAATATTTGGACTAAAATGCCCTTATAATTAATGTTTACTTTTTTTTCTATAATTTAATGATGCTATCCATTTATGAGGGATAATTTGGACCCAAAAAAAAGAAAAATGTAATTAATGCCTCTTGAAATTTGTAGTTTTGCTTATAATAAAAAACAATGAAACATAGAGTAGTTTCTCTTATAATAAAAAGCAGTGGGGGTATAACAGAAAGCACACCCCTTCATCACATATAAATTAGAATAAAAGTGAAAGTTAAATGATACACATCCCTCTCTTAAGCTACACAATCGAGTCTTTCTTTTTTAATTTTTAAATGGGAAATGTAATTTGATAAAAGTAATCCACTTATTCCATCAAGCTGTAATTGCGATCAATTTATGACCACATTAGCAAGTACAACAACAACAAGCCTTATCCCACTAGGTGAGGTCAGTTACATGAATTATATAACACCATCATGCTATATCATTTATTAAGCTCTTAGAAATATTGTTTATTAAAATGTTTCGATTAACAACTTTCAAAAATGTTTTCTTTTGCCTTCCTTTACCCTTCTTGATAGAGTTCAAAATTATCCGTTCCGCTCCCCTCACAAGTGCCTCTTGTGGCCTTCTTTGTACATGTCCAAACCATCTAAAATGATTTTCCACCACTTTTCCTTCAACAAGTGCAACGTCCACTTTTTTCCTCACGTGCTCATTTCGAATTTTGTCTTTACGTGTATATCTGCACATCCATTTCAACATTCTCATCTTTGTTGCTCCAACTTTATGCTCTTACTGTTCCATTAAAACCCAACATTTACTATTATAAAATATTACTGCTCTTATAGTAATTCAATCAAATTTTTCTTTAAGTTTATTAGGTATCTTATGACTGCAAATAGCTCCTTTAGCCTTTCTCCAATTAAACCACCTAACATGATAATTTGTGAATATTATCATTTATCTTTATGGCAAGTGTGACTGCTAACATTTGAATAGGAAAAAACTTCAGCAACAATCTGTAACTATCTAGAAGGTTTAGACAAACTAGGGCAGCCCAGGCTTCCCTAATCTAAGAATCTAAGAAATGCAGCTAGAAGACGCCCCAGAAATTGAGCTGATTAAGTTCTGAATAGTCAGTGTATATAAAATTGCAGAGAAAAAAATTCATAAACAAAGAAAATATGATTCATACCACAAATAATAATAATAAGTTTAACAGAGCTCAGGTCGAACCATATCTTGGTGCAGCTAGAGAAGAGACAAGGAAGGAATTCAATATTAAAAAGAGAAAATACTAACTTTGGTCGGCTCATTCACAACTTTCCTATAGACGCTCAAGAAATGATAAAGTAATGCATAACTAGAATTCATGTATACCAAGTGTGCAGAATACTGAAACATGAAAAAAATTATAGCAATTATAACAATGTTAACGAGATAAATGAACCAGCAACTAAGACATTTATATCTCGTGCTCAGAGACAAATAATTACAGCTACTGCAAGACAAAAAAATAAAATAAAATAAATATTAAATGAACACGCACATAGAATTTACCTCAAGAAAGTGACAGAGGCAGAAAGTCTCTGAATCTCACTCTGCTCCAAATAAGAATCCACCTCTTCCCCACAAAGCTTATCAATCATGCCCATGGCTTTGAAAAAATTTTCCACTGAATAATCAAAAAATGAAATGCTAACCCTAGGATCACTTTTGTCATTATGAATTCTTGTTGAATCCTCTGCCTGCACATCAACTGAGTTAGCCTTCTTATTGAATGCTCTTTGGGCCTTCCTCTTCAAGGACTTCTTCCTGGAGAAGCCGAATTGCTGGGCAAGAGATGGCTCTGCAGACCCCTCATTTTGCTCTATCATTATTATTATTTTTTTTTGGCAGACTATTTTAATATTGGAACATACACCAGCAACCAAGGAGATTTGGGCTAGAGGGAAGGAAAAAGCAGACGATGGGGAGCCCCAAAAAAAAAAAAAAAAAGCCACCCAGAAACGAAACAGGACGGAGCCACTGAATGTTCAATAACTAAGGGGTCTAAACCAGTTAGGAAAATGAGGTTAACCTACGGAATTCAATCCAAGCGGAGAAGAAATCAAAGAGGAAAAGGGCAAGCAAAGAAGAGGATTTGGTTGCGTAGAGGAGGGTGAAAATAGAGTCACGTATACGGGTCTGTTTGGATATACGTTGCACTATCATGGTGTGCCACGATTTTGGTCTCCCATCGCACGTTTGATAGAAGTGGAATGTTGTAGCTTTTCCGTGCAGAAAAACCCCGTTTAAACGCATGTAGATTCGTTCTCTCCGTTCTGCCCTTCTCTCCAGCATTATACACATGCTTCCAGGGTCAAATGAAAGACCTGCAACATGAGAAGGAGAACTAATATGTGAATCTCTCTTCTCCAATCCCACAATCTTGTGTCCCGAACTCAAGCTCTGCTCTCTCTTGCTCCCTCTCCAGGGGAGGGGGCGTGGCGCAACTCCATCTGACCAGCCTTCCCCTCTCAGTCCCGCTATCTTCCACCAGTCCGGCCTTCCTCTCTAGTCTTCCCTGCTTCACCCACTCCGAATACTCTTTTTCCCAACGCCGACCTTGGGCCGCTTTCTCATATTTTCTTCTTTAAAAAATTTAATATTTTACTGCAGTTTTGATATTTATTTTCTTCTTTAAAAAATCACTTTTAAATTTATTTATTTATTTATTCAATCTTTTAAAGATATAGAGAGAATAATATTAAAGTTTAAAATTAATTACTATAAAATTAGTTAATAAGTGAATTAAGATCATTGACAACACAAACCATTAACAACTTTTGTTAATAACTTTTAATAAATTTTATAATAATTAATTTTTTTATTTAAAATGTGTATGTAATTCTCCTTTATAAATATTAGAATCTGACAAAATATAGGAAAGAAAGAATTTTGGAGAAAGACATAAGTAGAGCAAACTGATTTTATTTCGAACTTCAATAATCCTTACAGACCTCCTCATTCCTTTTATAGGTGTGACCAAAGCATACTGAAAAGCGAGAGCAAGACTAAAAAGCACGCCAAGTGGTGGCAATTGTCGAATAGCATCTTTTGTTAGCATTTCTTTGTCTTGTAAATACACTCCTGCCCTGATGATATATTGGAGTATCTTTTTTCTTTTTTAAATGCCACGCTAATGTATCTTCTTTCTACTCTGACTGTTTATCATCTAGCTCTTTATACTACCCTAGAGTAAAAGAGTCTCCTGTTTCAAGAAATTACTGATAAAATTAATACTCTATTTTACATGAATCTTGGATATTTGGAGGAGGAAGTTCCTTGCTTTGGGATGACTGGACTTTATGAGTTATGAAAACTTGTTCTATCTAGGTTAAATATCCATGTTATAAAGCAATATTTACAACTCATTTTGATAGATGAATTTTTAAGAGTAGAATATCATTTGGGATGACAGGCTAGAATGAAATTGGGCCAAGTGACATACACTTGAGATTAGGATTTGTGTATGCAAAGTTGTTTAAATGGCATTAAAAATTTTTTAACTTATTTAAGACTTTTTTTCATGTGATGACCAATCAAGAGAAGACTTCGATAAGTAGGTCTAATTAACAACACAAAGATTTTCATGTTGATCCAAATTGTAAGGGCGGCGGACAATGAAGATGAAATTGTAATGTCCACTTTGACATTATCAGCACAACTACATTTACATCATACAAAGAAAATTAGGAGTTATCTAACCCTTAAATTCCCATAATCAAAAAGGGTTAAAAATAGTTTAAAAACTTTGAAAACATTTAGAACCTTATAAACCTTTTGAAATAATGTTTGAGCTCAAACTATAGAGTTTTCAAATCATAGAAAGCATAAAAAGCACAACATATAACCATTCAAGATAACAGGGACACAATAGTCATTTTGTCCTAAAATGACTATTGTGCCACAGCTCAAGTGTCACGACAAATGACATAAAGAGCCATGCCTATCCTTTCTATGTCATGCATTGTGGTGTGCACACCTTGCACTGCAGTGCACAACATCAGTCGTGATAGCTTTGAGTTGTTATGACAGCACCTTAAAGACCAAATTTTGATATATGCCATTTCTTTGTCTAATATCTAATTGAAATAATTTCAATGCCCACACAAAACTTGTTTGATAATCTAACTAATGATATAAATTTTATCTCAATCCAATATCTTATTTGAAAATTAAACACCTAAATGTCAAATGACTACTTTTATGTTGTTTTCGTGCATCTAAATTTTTAAACCATCAAACTTGTGCCATTAACTCTATCTAAGACTTAAACCACATCCAATTGACCCATTTACACCTAAATGTATAGATATATTATCAAACATACAACTTATACAAAATTTAAGCAACTCGTTCCCCTGAATTCATTCAAAATGGGGTCAGACATATCATGCATCATGCTTTACTCAATTTGGCCAATTCATTATAGCACATCCTAATTGATATGCTAATCAATAAGCATGTACTTGTATCATTATCTTAGCATCACACTTCCCATGTATCTTGCAACATACATTCCAAGCTAAAATACCCCAGTCAACACACATTTCATACAAATGCAAATCCAAAATTATATGCAATCATAGTTGACTTGCACCATTTAACCTAAATCCGCTAACCTACGAGCTAACTCGCTTATAATTTTTTATTTTATAAATTTTTTATTTTTTAATTATTCAATCATTCCTCTTCCAAACTTTATCATTTTGTTCCAACACCTAATTAAATTAATCTTCCTTATTTGATTAGTATAACATATAGCTAGAATAAAATGGTAGCCAATACCGTTTATTTTAATTAGAGTAAAATACAATCTTCTCCCTCCATTTTTTTAAAATTACACAAATCTCTCTTTTGATTTTAAGGCCTACACTTTACTCCACTTTTTAGCCCCATTAGGAATATTCAATTAAAGATTTTAAAATACTTTGATTTTTAAATTTTAATTATATTAAACAATTTAAAAGTATTAATTTTCCCTTGTAATATATGTGTATATTCTCTCCCCTCCTCAAGTTAAGGAACTTTAAATAATTAAATGTGAAATTTTAAACTAAGTAATTTAGAAATTTTGTGATCAAACTAATAAAATTTAAACAAAATAAAGCATAAATTATACTAACTAACTTATTCTCATTATGCATTACTTCCCTTTTTCATTAAGCTTTTTGCATATACATATTTAAAATATTATTTTAGATAACTTGTTTATTTATATTTTAAAAAATAATTAAATAAATAAGTTTTAAAAACTAAAAAGTTTAAAATATGATTAAAATGTTTAAAAAATATGTGCATTAAATTTTTTTTAGATATATTAAATGATTGCTACAGAACATCTACATTTTGATCCAATATATGACTTAATTGTTAATTAATAATTGAATAAATGAAATTAAAAATTTTAAAATAGAAAGAAGATTTTTTTATAAATTATTAATTATAGGAAAGGTTCTTGTATGTTTAAAAAATAAAAAGGATGTATTTTTAATGAAAGTAAATTAGAAGAGAAGTTAATGTATTCTACTTTTTTAATTATTATAATATATACATGGATAAAAATTTAAATTAAAATTGACAATCTTTTCTAATCATCATATATTAAAATTTTAATTTATCTAGCTTAAAATTTCAAATTTAAACTTAAAGACTTTTTTATTAATAATTTAAAGTCTTTTTATTATTAACTACATTATATTGGCAATCCAAAATAGTTGAATATATTGACCAATATTATTAAATTATCCTAATCAAATTATAGCATGTCAAAATTTTAAATACTCCTCAAAGTTATGATTAATTTAGGAAAATTATTTTACCAAAGATATGTTTTAAAGGTAATTTTTTTTACATTTAATTGGTCAATGTGTTTTGCACTTTTAACTTATTTTGATAACATATTTGAATTTCAAATCCTAATATTTAATAATTAAATAAAATGGTTAGTTACATAAAAATATCATTAAATTAATTAATACTATTTTTACTAAGCATATATAAATAACATTATTTAATTGGAAAATATTAGCATTTTTAGAGTTTGAACTTTACAAAAGAGCCAATCAATATCTTAACCTTATGAAAATATTGAATTTTATGAAATTTCATCAAATTCTAATACTTCACAATAATTTAAGTTTTAAAGATTTAAATATACATGAAAATGGATAAGAAATTATTTTGTTAGAAGATATACTATAACCATCATCTTTTTATTCTGTATATATAAATACTTAAAAATTAAGTTTAAATATATTCACAAATCAACAATCAAACTTAATTTTTAAAGTACAAAATTATTAAAAGAATACTAAAATAAAATCTTACATTTATATGAATCAGTCATGCAAAAAAAACTCCAGGATTTTACAAAATTAATTAAAGGGTTAAATAACAAATTTATTTTTTGAAATATGGGTCAAAAAGCATTTTATACTCTTAATTTATTTTTAGTACAATGTCCTCCTTTAATCTTTGAAAATAGTATAATATTGTCCCTACAGTTAATTAATAATAGTTTTGATTGTCAGTTTACTAAAAAATTACCAAAAAGAATCTCAAAAATTATAGAAAAGAGACTAAAAAAATTTTCTTTGTTCTTTTGTGTATCTTTTAGTCATTTTCTATGTTTTTAAATTTTTTACAATGATTTCTTGTTCAACTAACATTCAAAATTAATTTTTATTAATGTTTAGAGTGACATTGCCCTTTAACCTTTAATTAAATTCATAAATGTGAAAAGAAAATAGTAAGTAACACCACTTATTTGTAATTGGTATGATATCTAAATGGAAGAGAAATTTGATTTGAATTTGATAATTTCATCTAAATTTTAGATCTTTATAACTATATTGGTTGAAGTTTTAAAATTCAAGTAGAATTTTTTGAGATTTATGAAATTATATTAAATATTGGCAACTATATTTTTTTTGAACTTATATAGATCTAAAAAAAGAATACATTAATTTAGAGTACTCAAAAAGAGACCATGTGTCACAATTTAAAACATACACAAAATGACATGTGGTATTCAAATGATTACATATTAAAATAATTATTGCATAATCAATTATACAACTTTCTCACAATATCTCATTAAAATATTCTATACTTGAGATTAATTTAAATAATTGAAATAACTTTCAAAATTTAAATTATATTTAGTATAAATAATTATTAGGAGTAAATTTAAATTTTAAAATTTGAAATTGAATACTTCTTTAAAATTTAAGTAAATACATCTTCAAATTAAATAAGATAAAATTTGATTACAAAAAATAAGATGTTAATCCATCAATGTAAATATTTAAAATTATATTTTAAAATAAATTTAGATATATAAATACATATGTTATATATATTTATACCCTTCTAGTTTATTTATAAATATTTAAAAATTTAGCTTGAACGTATTCACAAATTATTAACAAAGCCTAGATTTCTAACCACAAAATCATGTAAGAGATGTACATGAAGTTATTGATATGAATTAGCTACTCTTATAAACTTGGCCTTTAAGAACTCAAGCTCGTGAATTAACTTTTTTTAAC